CTCGTCGTCGTTCCCTTGATCCTGAAAAAACTGGACGCGCTGTGCGTTCATTAGTGCGGCGACCATGTTCGGACGACGACGACGACGACAGCGATCGGTTTTGTGTTAGCCGAGAACTTTTTTCGGCGTAAGCGGAGATTTAAGTGTTTGAATGCCGTGTTAACCGCGACCGTAGTTAAATGCCGCGTTTCGAAGTCGTCACCAATCGGTATGGAAGCATTATCGACGTACGAGAATGCGCCGACGAGTGAGTGACAATAATGTTTTGTAATATATATTATATCAATGTAGTTAAATTTAATTGTTTTAATTATGTTAAATCAATCGTTACATTAGAAAAAAACACACAATTTTATCATAGATAGTGTATACACATCACACATAATACAATATGATATAATATAGAATGTATACAATTGTGAGTTCTTTAAAAATTAAAAAAAAATATTATTATCAATAGAATACATAACAATTACCGAGTCGTTAAAACGTGGCCTCTACAACTCAATACGCGGGCGAACAAAAAAAAAATGGAACAAAACAATGTTCGTACAAGTTTTGTCATAATGATTTATGCATTGTTGGGCCTCTTCCGTTTTTACATATTTTACGGGGAGAATTCTTCAAGTCCCTCGGATATAATTATATTATATTACAGCGTTTAATGCTTAGAAATAGTTTTCTTTACTCCGAAAAAAACAAGGGCTTAATTTTTAACCGTTCCGAAGCACGGTTAGACGTGAGATTGTTCCGTTTTTCTATAATTCGCACGACCTAACCTCATTCACATAATTGTCCATGTATGATGGCTCGATCGCCGACGTTTCGACAGTATCCATAGGAAGTCAAAAATAATATTCCCTGTGCGTGTAACAATGTACATATTATAATGTGAACATTATATTATAATTATATTAAATTATATTATATTGCGCCAAGAGATGTTGCATCTTTTGAAAGAAAGAAAAAACAACGTTTCGTCTTAATCAATAAATAGCTATAATCAGTTCATCATAATTAACCATTATTAAAATTGCTTAACATTTTTAGTTCATCAGAACCAAGAAAACTAAAAAAATGGTTACATAGATTGTCCTCAACAGTGTAAAACTAGGTCACTACTATTTTTTATTTATTTTCTCAAATACGATGTATGATTTAGCTCCTCCTATCAATATTAAATTATGTCTTTTGCTGACGAAACAAAAACGTAACGAATATTGAAATGTAATGAAAATCGCTTGGTACACGTGGTATTAATACTATATAGGCGTATCTATACGATATTATAACATATTAAGCACCTGTAGGTAGTCCATATGACTTAATGTATATATATTTAAGTTAATATTCATGTACTCGCGTTTGTGCGGAATAAATTATGATATTAGCCTTATCAGTCTTGTATTAGTAGGTACAAAATACGTGTTATAATCATTAAAATCAGCAACGACCTGTAGTGAATTAGCGATAAAGTTGAAAGATATATTTGCAAAGATTAATGGTGAGAAAGTCGACTGTTGCTATGGTGTGCGATACTCGGATGATTGCGGAGGTATTATAATATCGGTTGGTATAAACTACGATTAAAGATATCTTTAATCGTGGTATATACAGACATAATATTTATATTATTAAAGCGGCGATCGGTAGTACATTGAGATTGTATAGGATACAACTGAAATAGAAATTAGAAATATAGAGGATTATAGTATAAAGATATGTTAGTGACTTTTTCTATTAAAATTTTAAGCATATTTTCATATTTCATTTTACGCAGACCGATGCCGCACAGCTGCTGGCTACCAGGTATAATATTATTATGCATGTGTATATGAATTATTGGCATTAATGTGGTATAATAGGTATTTATATCTGTTTTATGATGAAATATAATGGCGGTCGGTTGAGGAACTGAGCAACACTCGATTGCGTATTTGCGCGTAATATCGTTTGCCGTAGCAAACATACCTGTAATACAATTCGTTGATATAATTAAATATTATAATATTATACAGACCGCGGCGATTCGAGCTTTTTTTATGTGTATACGATATTATAATGTTTGGGTTTGGTATAGTTGGTAAAATAATAATATCATAAGCTATAATAACTTTAGGTTTACGACTTTAAGTAAAATAACGTATCGGCAGCATGGTTACACGGTCATTATATTATATTTTATCACTGTCAATAATTATAACGATTTTAACGGTCGCGGCGCCGCAGAAGCGGAAAAATAAGACCGTTTCGAGACGGTTCGGTTTCACAGCGCGAAACGTTCGTCTCTCCCGCTGTGCGTTTTCCGCGTATCTATTCACCAGGTCCTGTATACATATATAACACTACACGTGTAGGCTGCTCGCGAGGTTATTCGCACGAAATCGCGTGCGTAGGAATGCGATGGTTTTTCGTACGAGAACAAAAGCAACGGTTCGGGTTATGTATATTTTTTATTTATATACGCAGACTATTTTTTCACAACTATATTAAATCGTATAATACATGTATACAGTGTACGCGTACTATACACAAACTCTGCAAGCACAAGTTTGATCCAAGAGGTGTGTTAAACGTGTATGCCTACGTTATATTATACTATATATTGTCATTCGATATAATATAATAATAATATGATGTACATCACAAGAAAAAAATAAACTTCCATCAATAGACAGCGAATCGGACACACTTCGATAACTCACCATCCGTATCTGATGGATAGAGGACACCCACTGCCCCCCCCTATATTATGCTTTAGTTGAGGCGTACCCTTCACGATCAAACACATCGTTATTGAATGCCTTATGGATTTTATACATTCAAAACGGAGAGCTAGAATATCAAACATTTTGTCAGTAGCCCTCCTCCACCCGGACGACTTAAAATGCATGATAACATTTATCATCAAATCTAATTTAATAATCGTTTGCAATTTGAATATGTTTCCAATGTTAATTAAGTTCAAGTGTAAACACATGTTAATTCAATTCAGCCAATGGCCATAGTCGCGAATTCGACAAACGAACAAAATTCAACCGGTTCGCGTGTACATAACACACAAAATGGTATATATAATATAGATTATAGTATTAAATATAATATTATATTCGCTTGTGTTTGTACACGATACTGTAGGTATATAATATAAATGTATATAGGAACCGGTCTTGTTAGTATGTATTTAAAAAATCTTAAAATAACTAACAGTTGTGCAAAAATAATTAATTTAATGCATTGTACATAAAGTCTATGAAATTTCAGGGTCGGCAACTTTGTACAATATTTAATATAATTTATATGCCTACAAAACGCTAATCATAATGGTTAGGAAATAAATCATTGTCCCATCAATGATATACCAATACAACGGGTGTATAATACTCGACACGTTGTTTGTGTCACACTGTTTTTTTATTCTCGCATTCACATACAATATTCAAATCATTAAATTGCAGATCTTTTATATTGTGTCGTTATATTTTCTCAGATCAAAACAGGTCTCCAGGGGTGTGTTCCATACGTATAGTATAATAGGTACATATGCATGTATTGTGTAGGCATGTGTAATTTCGTCCCACGGTTGGTCCATTTTAAAATAAATCATATATTCGTATTTCGTATTTTTTATTTTTTATTTTAGATTTTGAACGAAGTGAAGAATGTATTACTTTTACAATAATGTGTGCTTTATTTTGTGTTTGAGACACTTTTTCCAGTAGAAAAAATGCTCTGATCATCAGTTTCGATCAACAAGTGTTCTTGTAGCAAATTGCATTTTGTCAGTACTTTTGGAAGGTCAAAATTGAACAATCTCAGCATTTTTAAAAATATATGGAAAAAAATATGAATAGATTAGTAACCTTAGTAACCAAAAAGATCATCTTCCCTCAGACTGGTTTTTTCGTCGTATGTAAGGATTTATCACATTGAATTAAAATTGAACACATCTATTACAAAGGAGTTCATCGTTTCCGCCAAAGGCAAAAAAGTTCGATTTTATATTCCACCAAATCTAGGTAATCATAATACATAGGTAGGTACGTCGTACATATAGGTCCTGTTTTCAAAAGTTGGGTGCCTAACCGATGACGAGGTGCACTCAACTCCTACTGTACAACAGCGTGGTTATTTTTATTTATTTTTGTCATTTTGGGCTGTGGGACTGAATACAATGGACAAAAATACGTAATAAATCTATACAAGAATATAATTTGTAGGTTTTTTTAAGAAGATAAGATCTACAAATAATTATGTTTACCTTATCGTAGATATATTATACTATTAGGTATGTTGTGTTTCATATTTACACAGCCATATAATATTATTTTTAGGTTTCTAAACCTAATTTTATAACACTTTAGTCTGTCAGTCCGTTATATAGTTACCAGTACATAATTATTTTAAATTATAATTGGTTGATATTAAGATATTTATTAAATAGTTAATAATATAGATTCATATAATAGCCAATATTGGCCAATATTAGCAAATATTAGCAAATAGGTATAAGTACCAAAATATTAATGTTACCAAATTCTTTTTAAACTTTGTATGGAATAATTATAGCTTAATGCGTTGAATTAAAATATGATTAGAAATCGGGAATACTCATGAGCAAGCTTTCCTAACTTGTAATTTTTTCATGTCTTTTTATATTGTTGTATTGCAAAATCTAAGGTGCAATACAATAATGTATTTTGTACGAGTATTAGAAAATATTATGAACACCAAATGTTAATATATCATCGAAACTAATTGTATCGAAATTAGACATTAGTCGTACGTCGACGATCTATTAAGTATAATTATTTCTGTGATCACAATAATAATTTATTCCATAATACGACGGTCGTCCTTGATATTCGCTTGACTCACCGCGAACCATGTGTGTCGACTCGCGTGCTAACATAATATTTTTCAGCTCGAATTATAATTTAACAAAAATATATTGATAACAACGTTCAAACTTTCACGAACTTTTTTTCCTTTTTTTTCAGAGCGTACGAGATGTCGCAGGAGTCTCAAAGTCCACTGGGCCAATGGAGCAACAAATACAGCTCCGTGTTGGCCACGCTTGGCTGTACTTTGGGAGCCTTCAACATCAGTCGGTTCGCCATACTCGCAGTACAATTTGGAGGTTAGTGTGTTTACGTATATTATTTATATTACGATATTAAGATCGCAATCAAATTTCATCTCTGCATTACTCGTATGTACGCGATGTATGATTATTTCGCACATATAATATTGTATGAAATCGTGTCGACTGCGGCCACGTTCTATTATAAAAGTATATACCGGGAGATCGACACTCATTAAACTATTAAAGTGTTTGAAAATATTTTTTTATTTCATTTAAAGTTGTTAAAATACATTATTCCAAAATAAAATATTATTATTATGTGTTATCGTCATTATTTTTTTAATGACAACATTCATTTTAAATTCCGTATTGCAAAGCAGAATATATTTGAAATGTTTCGATTTATAACAATCGAATTATGGACGATCAGTTTATGAGTTATAAGTATTTTAAGGTTATAGAGGTATCCCGCAAAATGTTGGTTCACTACTCCGCTCATCTAAAATTCTAAACTTCAAAAATAAACTTCTTATCCGAAATTAGTTTAAAATACCTATTTCGAAAAGTAGCTTATCATTTAGAAGTGTGAAATTCAAACAATTATAACGACAACAATTAAAAAAATATAACTGTTTCTTTAAAATGTTGTTTTCATATGACTTTAAATTATTTAGTATAAATAATTTCAAATACTAATTTTTCATAAAATATGGAGTGTATTATGTTAAATGGATCACTTCGTATATCCTCTCTTAGACCTCCTGATGCGTTAGCCGTCGCTATATATTATGTGGTCCTTGAAAACTAACGAGACAAATATTATGTGCATTATTACAAGATGTAGAATAACACTAATGCATACATACGGGGTGTTTCATTTAAATTTTAAATAGGATTCATGAGTAGATTTTGTTGTTTTCGAAAAAAAAAATCACACATAATTTAAAGTAGGTACCTAGTATAAATCACTAAATTTTTTTGCAAAAAAATACTATTTCTTCATTACAATCTACATTTTAAATTTCTAATGAGAAGCAAAACTTGTTTTTAAAAATATTTATGTACATATTACTACGAATATTAAGTTACTTATTGTCTTTTTTATTGATAAACACTTAAAGTTGGCATATTGATGAACGGAGTACAGTGGCCCTTACCCCGCAAAAGGCGTGGGATCCACTAATTCACTAGTTTAAATTTTAAATGGTTGTAGGTATACCTACGTATTTCTAAAATAATTATTTATTCAGTATTCGATACTTATAGACATCACAAATTTTAAGAATGTTTTCTGTATCTGATTATAAAAAATTAGGCTTTCATGTAAAAATAGAAACTGCATGTTTTGCGGATGATATAATAAATTGTTATTACAAATTATTACATTATAATTGAATTTGTACGTTAAATATTTAAAACCATCCTCAACAGTAAGTGTTTTTTGTTCAATAAAGATTTAAAAATCGACCCGGAAAATTCGAGTGAATATATGTAATTATAATGGAGCTCCAAATGTAATCATATCATATTTGTGGGTAAATGATTCGAGATTGATTTTTCATCCAATGTTTTGTTTTCCTTTGCTTTTACAGCCAACTTTATACTACAGTTCCTAGTGTTATCTTTGCTAGTCGGCATACCTCTGTTTACGTTTCACAGTTCGCTCGGCCAATTACTAGGCGCCGGGGTCATGGACATGTGGAGGATATCACCGATATTCAAGGTAAGTCCGTTTTATCCACTCAACGGGACAGCTCGAGCAATAATAACACAATATATTATGCACCCGAGGCGTGCGGATTTCCGTAAAAACGACAAAGTAACGTTTTCGCGGGGGCCGCCGTTATATACATATCAAACGCGGTTCTAAAAACGCACCGACGCCGCCTCAGTGCACATACATACGTGTTATTACTCGCTGGTAATATTCTATTATTTACGGTCATGTTATAATATTATACGCGTCTGATTGCAGGGGATCGGCATCGCACTGCTCCTGGCCCAGGCGTTCATCGGCACATACACCGTGATTGGCATCTCGTGGATGTTCACATATTTTCGCGATTCGTTCATCACGAAACAAGACGTTTACCGTTGGGCAGAACCGATCGACGAGTACAAAGAAGGTACCTATGTATAATATAGAAACGAATTTATTCCACCCGTGTACATATATATATATAAATATATACGTTTTGTACGTATATATATATATTAAGTAGTCATCGCACTACATTATTATTATTATTATTATTATTATTATTATTATTGTATCGCGTGTCACAGCAGTTATATATATTATTATTATTATTATTATTATTATATAGTGTCATTATTTATTATCATTATTATAGATAGCTCGTAACGGTGACTTTAGTAATAATCGTTTTGTCTTTTGTATAATGCAATATTATATTGTTGTAGACGGCATGCCTTGGACTTTGTCTTCAAATGTCAGCTACAACATCGAAGAGACAGTACCGGGTTACTTTAATGGCATAGTTTTGCAGAGAAAGTACCTGGAAAAACTCGAGATGAACGACAACTCGTTAAAGTTGCCCGTGGTTATCAACCTGACGATCATATGGACAATCGTGTTCATATGCTTAAGTAAAGGTAATTTCATATTGGTTTCAATAGAGTCATATTGTAGAGTAATTTTTTAAAAATACGGTTTATCATTCGTATAGGTCTGAAGTCGTACAGTAAGGTGATATGCATATTCTCACTGGTACCGGTTTTCGGTATGTTCATGTTGTGCACGAAGATGTTGGGTTTAGCGCCAATGATTGGGTTCCAGCATCACGACATTTTCCCAGAAACGGATTGGAGCGAGTTTTTTCTCAACACCAAGGTAAAATTTTGTCACATTACATCCACATCATACCCAGTGGTTTTTTTTTAATTCGGACTCAAATCACAGGAAACAAAAAGAGTTTATTATTTTAGAATTTTTTTTTAAATTTTAAGAATACACTTATTTAAACGTTCTCACGATTGTCGATTATCATAATTATTTGTTCATAAGCGGTAAAAAAAATATGTAAATTTCCTCGCGCATCGTTTTTTTTTTTGTACAGTCGTTTGATATACGACGTTACAGGTGTTTTTTTTCCGTTCAAGTTTCTATTTTGTACTTCGCATTTCGTCATAATGATAATGATTACACCGAAATCTGTGACGGCTATATTATTGTAATATTATAATCTTGTCACGACGGTGCAGGTGATAAACCACACAACAGATTGTAGCCAATGCAACGACTAGCTTTGTCGCCCTTAATTGTTGTAAAATGGAGTGTTTATAGAAAATCGTATACAACTATCATAATAATATCATTTTATCGCTGACCATCTTCATTATGCACCGTTATTTGGACATTTCAGAGTTGGGTGGCGGCGTTCACCGAGACGTTTCTCACGTGGGGCATACTCGGCGCGTGCACAATGCAAATCACTTCGCACAACCGGCCGAAGCATTTGCTGCACAGAGACGCTTCGTTAGTGATCATCCTAACTATAGCCGTACTCGTATTGGCCGCGTTTTTAGCCAACACGTGCGTACATCTCCTCGAAGCTCACGGATACATGTACCTGCCCAGTTCTTTCGGTAAGTCTTAAGCCTATTTTTCCACCCCCCCCCCCCCAAATATTCCCATCGTCGAGGTGAATATCCAAGTGGTAAGTCACTATGTGCGCATTGAACCCGACCGCAACCATACCGTACGCTATACCTATAATTAGTACAAATCGTAGATCTCACGTCGTTACCGTTTTATATACTTTCAGAACGGATGAGTTCCTATACGTTTCTGTTCAAGCAGAATTCCGCTCAGGCCCGCAAACACTTGACGCCCGTGCGATGGATGCAGCACAGCAGTCTGCTTCTGGGCGAGAGGACGATGAAGAACAACGTGCCGGGTATGCCGCAGGAGAGCGGATACCAGGCCATGCGATTGGCGACCGAACTGTTTCCGGCCACGTTCGCCATGATCGGCGCCAAGAACATCTCGCCGTTCTGGTCGGTCCTCTTCTATTTCGTGCTCATCATGTTCGGCATTGGACAACAAGTACGTTTGCAAACACTAAGTCCAGTATAATAAATACCATTATAAACATTGGTTAATTAATGCGTGTAATCAAATATTTTTTTAAAAAAATGTTTTGTTCGTTAAATCATTACAGATCGCGATATGGCACTGCGTTGTCAGCGGGATCATATCTTTGCATCCGTTCAAGCTGAGAAAATGGCGTACAACGATCACATTTCTGACGTGTGCGGCCGCCTTTTCGATCGGTCTGTTTATGGCGACTGAAGTGAGTGACATTTAATTTTTGAATTGAATCATTTCATATCCGAATACAATATACTATACAATATGTCGCTGTATATTGGATCTAGAAGTTTGACGTGACTATAGTATTATATGAAAGAATAGTTAAACCTGACTTACCGGGTACGTCTCTAAACGGTCCAAACGATAAAGTTCCTATAAAGACATAGGTAAACCTATTCCATTGCATTTCCACCTGTCCATAACGGGAGTTTTTTTTTGCGGACGTGGACAGTAATGTATTTCTCCCTGAAATCTTCGTAACGGACAACAGTCTTAGTTCGAACTAAAATCTAATTGCATACTTATAATTAATAAAAACTATAATATAAGACTTGTGCGACAGCAAGTCAAGGCACGAATTACGATTGATTACATATACACTCTTGTATCGCCAATGACGATAAAGTTAATTTCGTTAATTTATAATGACAACAATTATTGATCATACGTGGCGTTGCCCTTGACAAATTAAAAAATCCCAGTGGATTTTCCCTGTATTCAACTACGCATATTTTTTATAACATAGTAATTTTGGTGGGTTTGACTAAATATTAAACACGTCAGGTCTAACGTCAAGTACAGTTACATAATAAGTTATCGATGTTTTATTGTACGTAAACAATGGCAACCCTATATGTACAAAAAAATAGTCCTTTTTCATGTGCCATGAAATCGCTAAGTGAGACCTTTTTTTAAAATTCAAAATTAAAAAAATTGGCTTCGAGTAGTCCAATTCTTGCAGGAAATAGGATTATCTATGATGCACTAAATTCCAAAACAATGAGTGCGAGAGAATTGGTTGTGGATCACTCACACTCACAAACATCATCTCTTATTAATATATATTATTCCGTAAAATACTAAATCCTGTCTAATTGGACATTTTTTTTATTGTGCCGCGACTGTCCATCGTCCATGCAGTTATATATACATGTTTCGCTGTATTTAAATTCATTATAACTTTTTAGCTCGGCATTTTCATCGTGTACTTAATGGACTACTGCGTCGGATGTGGTTGGTGGATAATGATACTGTATTTGCTGGAAATCGGAGCTTTGTTCATGGTGCGCGGTCGTCCGTACAGCGGCGAGACGGTAGTGGCAACGCTGTTTTCGCAGGCCAACCATCACCTGCAGGTGTGGATGGCGCCGATGTTGTCGTTCGACTGGAACATCGTCGTGCCAGTGGCTCTGATCGTAAGCGCAGTCAAAAAATATACAATATAATATATAGATGTATAAATAATATGCTATTTGAAAAGACATATTTTTTTTTTATTGAACCTAAGACAGGCATCTTTGGAAATTAGATGTTTGTAGGGTTATTACTGCGGGGGGAAAGGTGCAGTTAGTTGGAACACTTGTTTGTGTGGCGAGGATTTGTCACTAAAAACTCGGGTGGTCACCCATCCGGTAATTAGTGGCACCAGCCGATTCTTGCACCCAGAAACGAAACGTGACTGAATACAACCACCGTGTCATACCAGGCCTCGAATAGGCATATTCTATGCATATATAATGACGATATTCTCGCCTTTGCAGCTGCTCAGCACGTCCGTGTTCAAAAACGGCGGATACAGGTGGCTGTACAACTGGAAAGGCGTGTCTCAGTCCACGTATTGGTCGTCGTCCAGCCGGGAGTTTGGCTGTTTGCTGCAGATCGTACCGCTGCTGATCGTCCCGTTCGCCGGAATCGTGCAGACTTGTCGATACCTGGCCACCGGACCACCGGACTTGTTCGACGTGAGTGCACGTTATACGATTGTAATACATTATTTATACAACATTTTACAAAAGCAAAGTTATAAAACGTTGTAAGATAAACAGTTGACATATACGATACAAATCACCATGTAGGTTGACTTCGTGTGGGTTTAGTTCATACCATTTGACATTTTAAATTCGTGCCATTATATAAGCAAATGCCTGCACCATACGTTTTTCTGGCGCACTGCCTTTTGAATCGAATGCACGAGATAAAAACTACCATTCCCCGGGTATTCCGCACAGAAGAAAAATCTTTGGTCTTTCCAGTTGTTCTTCCGCGGGTTTCAATGAGTTACGATGAAAAAAAAAAACCTGTACACATAATTGTAATTAATTGTATAATACCGCGATGTGTGTCACGGCCCAAGCCGGGGATGTCATCATATTATAACAACGCTCTCCTCGTATACCACCGGTACCATTGATGGTATACGGCCGCGCCATCACACCGAATAATACCGTTTGCTTACTCTGTCCCTAAACAGCGGATCCAGATGCTGTACCGACCTGTGATCGAGACCCGCAGGCCACCGGAAACCGGGGAGGCAACGTCCGAGGCGGGCGTCAACGGCTCGGCGGCCGTGCAGATCGAAGACCCGCCGCCCAAGTACACGCCGCCGCCGTCATATTCCACGGCCACCGGAGCAAGGTCTTTACGATTCACTGAATTAGTAACGGTTTACGAGAACGACTAACAGTAGTTTTAGTGTAGTGTATTTTCTATCATCGCACGCTCTGCTTCACACGACTATATATATATATTGTTATGTATTTACGTCATATTTTATTCTTGTACATATTATTTTTTTCATATAATCACTATGTTAATGTTGTGATATATTTGTTTGTCATATTTTTATACCTATACTACCACCTAGTCATTACTCTTATCTCAGACTGTCGAATGCGAAATTAAATGTAAAAAAAAAAATTTAATATTGATGATACATTTTTAACGTGTCCCATAATACATATTATATTACCTACCTATATAAAACAATAATGATTTAATAACACACGTATTTAGCAAAACAAATATTAACATTCTTCGTAGTTACAATATGTATATACCTCTTTGCCTACACGTCTTTTATAATATGCATGCAATTCACACACGGTGGTTTTCTTCTTGACACTTGGCACGGACACTGTAACGCGCACTGCTTGGCCGCGTCGTCGGCGACTCTTCATTATTACCATCTTCGCTGCTTGCCGACTTCCGAACGCCTATGCGGTCATACGCATTACAGACTAGCGACGAATAGAACCGTTATCAACTGTGCGCCCTCGCGTGTTTGTTTTTCTTTTGCCATTATAGAATCGCGAAAATGTTGCGGCAGAGCATCCGGCGGAGCGTGCGCAGGTTGGCGCACGTACTCGGCAACCACCATCAGTCGGCGATACTCGGAGAATCCTCTTCGTCGTCCTCGTCGGCCGCTGCGCGAACCGTCCAATCGGCGACGACGTCCTCGCATCACCATCAGCAGACAACAGTCCTCTCGGGGACGACACCGTCGCCGGCGCCTCCGACGACGACGACGACGACGACGACGAACGTCCAACAAACCTCGGCCACGTCGTCTCCACCCCCCGACTATACCACCGTGCTGGTCGAGATGAACAGGGAAGACGACGACGTCGTTTCCGTCACGCGGACCGTCTGCGGCGAATCGTCGTCCGCGTCCAGTCTGTCCGACGAGCAGAGCACCAGCATCGAGTGTCTGATGGAACGGGCAGCGCCTATCAACGTGGACCGGACAGGACCGGTAGCAGCTGCGGCGGCCGCGTCGCAGTAGTTCCGCACAAGGAGATCGCTATAATCTATAATATTATAAAATACCTCTATCCGCCGTCGTGGCCGAGAACAAAGCCGTTCTTCGCATCCGGGTTTGCGGGAATGTAAATACATTTTTGTAAATAGGAATTCAATCGATCGTTTTTTTATGTTTACAAAAAAAAAAACAAAATGACTGTGATAATTTTTTTTTATTATTATTATTATTATTATTTAATAATTATTTTTATTTTAATTATTATTTTTTATACGCTCGAATAATATTGTCTTCATTACATTTTAAGAGCCTATATATAGGTACATAATATGTGTATATTTTATTATAATAATAATAATAATAATAGATACTGATGAATACTATTAATAAATAATACATAATTATCGTATTGTATAATATAATGTAATCGTTGTATATTATTTACTGACTAAAATAAAACTGTATGCGAACGCTCGTTCCACAGGTAATAGGTAAATAATATTTCCCGACAAGTATCGATTGAGCGCCATCACGACTCGTAGTCGTAGTGTCGGTCGGAGTTCATGTACTGATTGGATCCGGTCGGGTTCGAGTTGCCCGCGCTGCTGTTCTGCTTCCTCCGAGCCGGTTTCGTGGAACCGCGACACTTGGCGATGAACTTGAGTTCGTCTTTGAACTCGCTCTTGAACGACACCTGCGGGGGCGGTTGTAAGATCAGTCAAATGTACTATATCGGTGGTCAAAAGGCCAACTGACTGTGGTCGTAACACTTAAAAAATTATACTTAGCAACATAGCCACGTGTTTAAGCCCGATTATGGTAAAAAAGTTTATTATATTTTCATTGCGTTTCGTTTGATGACATCGAATGACATTTCTATCGTAACATTTCGATGAGGTTTACTGGCTTACGACGTTCTTTTCACTATTTATCTCAAATAAGCTTCGTGATGACGTTCGATTTAAGTTAAATAATAAAATGATATGGTAAAAATTTGGTCGAGACACAAGAAAACCGTATGACAATTATTCGTAACGCAATCCTTAATTTTCCACCAAAGTCTTAATTACACATGTGTTAAGTAATATTATGTCCATTAGTTTCACTGTACAATACGAACCTTTTCTTTGCTAGTCGTTTTCCACAGGGTCCAGAACATTTCCATCGCTGCCAGTATGGCGGCGACGCCGACGCCACTGCACAACACGATAAAAACGCCGCCCACGTTTTTCATGCTCAACTCGCTGGCCTCGTTATTGTCGGTGTCCTACATAATGTTATATTTTATTAAAACACTCATCATCGTGATAGAGCGATGCATAAAAAGTGTAAGGTTCAACTCATCTATACCCCCCCCCCCCCTCTTTCCACCTACCGACTCAACAATCGCCTGGTTCGGGTCTCGTACTAGGAAATTATGTAGTAAGAGCAAAGAGCGTTTAATTAAGTATTCAGTGTTGGGCACAAAGTACGGGCATGATTAAGAGGAAGTGTGACGTGTCACCCGCACAACGTGGTGGTTCCGTCTCAAACAGATATGTAACATACCAAATTTAAGTTCATCAGTTCGGCTTCGTTAGTTTTAATTATATTTGAGCGAGTTTAAATATTATTAATCATATAGGTAATATCCTCGTGTTTGGTGAAATTGTTTTTCTGATATTTTAATTTTGAGTTGTAAGCGTGTAAGATATTATATAATACTTAAAAATGTCCATAACTCATTTCAAAATTAAAATATCATTGATGAAAAATTACCTCTCTTTTTGTTTAAAGGAAAACAGTTAGGTATACATATTCGAAGGGAACTCGCTGCCTCTAAAACTACATAAAATATTACGACCAGACCCGTCATGTCTAAAAGTAGGTTTCCGGGCCAACTACGATTCTGTGTAGTGTGCGGTATAAACATGGGAATAACTAATTTATATAGCACATACTGGGAATTTTTTTTTACTTCAGACGAGATGTCACACAAACCTGACACGCTCCGCCCCCGCGTTTCTCTTTCCACCATTTGTTCTTTAACGCCGTCAGTTTGCCCTTCTCCTGCAGGCTCAATATGTTTGCGCTCAGAACGTTTCGAAAACTCGCGTCTGTGAAAACACAACGTCACAAAATGTACAAATCGGTTAATATAGAGTGACAAAACACAGTATATGTTATAAATGTGTTTTTCAACAGCACACAATATTAGACAGAATACTTTTTTTCATCACAATCCCGTAGCCTTTGTTGTCCAACAGTCCGCCGATTTGGGCCAACTTGCAGTTCCGCTCGACCATGTACCTATTATAATATGCAAATATATAGCGGACATTCATAAAAATTTGGTACGGTGTAGTACTATTGTGGGAGTTTTGCCCACCTTTTTGGGTATGCGATTGCGCTCAGTGCCTAAAATTTTTTTTAGCAACGTAACATAAAAGTGAAAATAATATTACACTCGAGATCGAATAAAAAAAAGTACCACCGATAAGCACCAAGCGCAATCGTAAGATATCCGGCTCTAATGCTGTGTACTAAATTATTTTTTTTAAATAATTAGTATTTATTTATATATATAAATATATAGTATAATATATATTTATTAATCATTTATTTGCACTAAAAAAAAATATACCTATTAATATTTGTAAACAATATTATACAAGAGGAAAATTTCAATTTTAAAAGCTATATATGATAGTACCTACTACCTACTACCTATAGTTGTTTTGGAGTTTTGTACTGTTTAAGAACAGTGTGGTTACTGGCGAGCACTAGGTGATACAAGTAATACAACAAATTATTACTTATTACTAAATAAGTAACCATTAATAGGTAGCTGCTCATTTAAGATAGGTAATGTGTGACTCGTAAACGCATTATTACTTATTATTATTACTTATGATTCGTCCAAGAGAATGTGATTACTTCGCTGTTCGCGCACACGAGTGCGAGTCGGCGGTCGCTCTTTAAATTGTATCGATAATCTATTTTTAGTCCAACTCAACTATATATAACAATTATTACAATAATATTCAATGAAACTTGATTAAAATATCAAATGAATTATAAATTTATAACCACAAATGTCTACTATTTTGTTTTGTGCAACAAGAGGTCGCCACACGCGTTATATTGTAGTCTCCATATTACAAGTGCGTAACAGCAAATTTATGCTCAGAAATTCACATTTAACATCGTCACAAACACAGATAATGTTCATAACGCTAACTTTCATAACGGGTTGATTCATTCTAATTTTTAAACTAATAAAGCCAAGAGAGAACTGCTGAGCGTACATTTTCGCTGTGGCCCAAAGTTATGAATTGTTATCAAAGCTTCAAGCATAGTATAAATGCCTACTTATAATTGTATTTTATAAATAGTAAATTGAATTTTTTTTAATTTTTAACAGATTCGTCATATAGATAGGTGTATCTAGGCATTTAGGATTGGCAGCGGGTAGAATCACATCAAAATGTTGATACTGATTTATAGACTTTTTTTATGGTCCTCTTACATATTATAATACAGACCAAAAGGTTAGATAAACAAATAATTATAAAAAATTGTATTATTATTATTTTTTTTTTTTATTGATCCTGAGCCCGGCAACTGTGGCCATTAGCTATTAGTAGGTATTGTGACCACTCGGTCACCTCGTCCCCCAATTGTATTATTGTTGAGGTGGGAGATATAACATATGATCGGCCCCCTTCTAGGGTTAGGTTTGCCTACGACTCCTATAGTCCTATGACGTAGACATAGAAAAGTGGCCTTGGTTTACAATTTTCCGTCCTGAATTTTTCTATCCCAAGCCGTCCTTGACACTACGATAGACGATTGTATGATTCACTGAACTTACGTTTTTGGAAAATTAAATAATTCTACCTATAATGTCATTTTAATTTATTGTAGTTACTGCCATAATTGTAATACTTACTCGATTGACGTAGACTCCATGAAAAACGCATAATTTTCTCTGAGTACTTTCTCAACGCCTTCGTCATTACTCGAAGTGTACCAGGGCTGATTTTTTTGTAAAATATCAAATATTTTTTTATAAGTAGGGTTTGTTGATTCCTGTGAAAATATAAATTTAAATTATTTATGTATAGCTCGACAACGCTTAGCTCGTGTATAACGCGTTATAGACTATAGTATTTTAGTATACCTATTAGAATTTAGAGATATGTATTTTAAAATGGCGATACATAAATTGTATGATACTTCTATGATGAACTATAAAATCTGTACAGTCGACATTAAATAGATTGGCATAGCGGCGGAGCTTATCAGTAAGTGTAGCCAAAATAATAAGTCGCAGTGTGTTCGGCCACTCCACGCTGGGTTAAAACAATTTTTTGTTTATACTAATTATTAAAATCTGTAATTGTTGTCATAAAATGTCTTTAGCATAATATTTACTTTTAAATTACTAACATAATAACTGTTAATAATGTTTTGAGACAACTATTGATTTGTTAATTGATTTGGTAATAAAATACAAATATGGAATACTATCCTGGCTTTGACGCGACCACCGTGCCAATCCATTTTACTCATACTGCATAGAATAGTAGTTTTAAGTATATGTTTATGTATATATAGTATATTATAGAACTCAAGTAGTTACTAGTTTACTACAAATCTCAACAATACGTATCAATTAGATAACGAAACGAATGTTCAAAATAATTAAATAAAAATAAAAATAAATTTTAAATATCCTACTTTCCCTTTTCACCACCCTTATAAATAAACTCTCAATGTATTCCCCATAATCTATTTACAATACCTAATATCCATCTTATCTCTTATGCAACTCATATACATATATATAACACTATCAGTATACTACTATATTATTATTAATATTTATAAAATCTATTTAATTGTTCTAAACAAACAGCTTATTCTAAAGTTCAAATTTTAGTCTCACCACAATTACTAAATTTATAATATTTAAATCACCGAATTTGTTATCTGTAGCCTCTACATTATTAATTATTACTTAATTATTTTTTATTATTATT